CCCACATATTATATATTTTTATTATTATTATTGTTTTATTTTTTTTTTTTTCTAATTACGTAAATATAATAATTATATTATATATTATAAAAAAAAATATTAGAATTATTTGTCTTTCCTTATAAGAAAAAAGTGGGTTGTTTTATTTAGATTATAGTAGATGATATAGCTGGTTCATCTGATAATAAATTTTGACCTATCAGATATTGTTGTAAACTATAAAATAATTCAAGTTGTTCTTTTGGTTTAAGTGAATTAATTGCTGATTGAAGAACTGTTCCCACTTCAACAGTTGATGTCTTTTTATTATTATTAATGAAAATAATCATTTAGTTTTAATAATTATATAAATATAAAGTATGAATATTCAAGGTTATTATAGTTAGCTAGCTTACCTTAATGAAACTTTGATAATACATATATGAAAATAATCCCATCAAGAATTGACAATCCATACGATCAGTTAAACCGCCATGTCCAGGAATTGAATCACCAAAATCCTAGTAAACACCAAAATATATAAGTAATCATTCGTCATGAATTCGAAATCGCATATAAAATAAAAGCAAATAAACCTTCAAATGGAATGCTCTTTTAACTCCACTAGCAAAAAATCCACCAAATGGTGCAATAAGTGATGCAAAACATGCCATAAAAACAACATGCCATTCGAGTGGCGCAATCCAAACAGATCTCACATCTGTAAATGGCTAATATTTACATAAATATTGTAATAATTGATATATTTGAAATTATATTTACTAATAATAATAATAATAATAATAATAATAATAATAATATAAATACTAACAAATCTTCTGAAAAGTGCAGCCAGCCAAGGATTAAGATCATAATTTTGTGGAATGAAAACTGGATTTGGATCACAAGTTAATGTTCCAGAAAATGCCGTTGCACCAAGCTCCTATAGTTTACAAAATAGATTTAAATATTAATTAGATGATTGACTTTCAACACAAATAGACATCATATAGTCGTTTGAATAATAATAACCCATTTTACAAACCTTAACTGGACAAATCATATATTCCCAACGTCTTAACAAAGAAGCCCACTGAAAAAAATTTTTTGTGTATATATATAACATATATTAATTGAAAGTTTAATTTGATTTTTGATGTTTTTATAGTAAATTACTTACAAAAGAGCCAAATATTAGAGTACAAATCCATGCTCCAACAAAACCTTCCCATGTCTTCTTAGGACTCAATTTTATCAATGGAGTTTTGCCCCAAAAGAATCCACAAATATAAGCGAAAATGTCGTTACAAATTACCAAAGACACCGGTAAAACAAACCTACCATTATCAATAATGTTATATTATTATTAGAATTATGATTATTATAATTTTGTCAATAAAATAACTTATAATCACCAAATCAATCCTTCAAAAATATTATTAACGATAAAATGACTTTGGCATACAACGATCAATAGTGTCATATGTGTCCATGCAAATTGGGTGAATTGAAATTTATAATGACCTTTTTTAAGATTTGCAACAAAAAACACAAATCCTAAATATTAATGAGGAAGAGAAAATGAAATTATTAATTAAAGATTGGTTGATTGATTGATTTTAAATAAATAAATATATATATTGAAGTTTTTACCTGTACAGTATAAAGCAAATGATATGAATCGATGGTGTGTTGCAAGTGGAAGTAAAAATGCATCTACCAGTACAACTTCCTTAAAATAATGAATTATCGATTCACCATAAAGAAAATAATTTGTACTAACTAGAAAATACCTATTATATAAATATTAACAAATATTATTATTTCGACAGGTTACATTTAAAACAATAATAAATCAAAAATTTTACCAATTCAATGTTTTAAACCATGGCAATTTTTTCTCTTTACTTGGCACATGAGCGATCGCAATAACTTCTTTGTAAACTAAAGTTTGAATAATCTCCACTAACAAGATCACCCATATATGGCCTAATGCAAGTATTGCAAAAAAACCACCAATCATCACAAATGTCCAAATTGTCCGTACAGTCATATTTTTCCATTTTTTAATTGATGGTTGGTCTACAAGTAAATTACTTGATGTTTCCTAATTAATCAATTAATTTATTTATTTATTAAAATATCACCATTAATATATTATATATATTTTAATAAATCAATAAATAAATTTATATAATATTGTATGTATATCCTTTTAGGAGGGTTTTTTTTTGATTTCAAAGAAACAAATAACTACACTTTTTAAAACATCTTCCTTCGTCAAACCGGTGGCTTTTGTATTACCATTGTAAGAATGTTGACGTTGTAGTATTTCTCCAACCTTCTCTGTGCTTTGATTATGATTAAAATTATTACTTTTGTTATTATCTTGTAAATGGTGTAATTGTTGATGCTGTTGTTGTTGATTTTGATTTTGAATTAGATGCTGTTGATTATGTTGTAATGGATCTTGTTTATAGTTTAGTTGAGAGTTGTTAAGTGAGGATAACGGAGTATCTGTGGTAGTAGTTTCAGATTTAATAAGGTTCTTTCGTTTTTTTGTCATTTTTGTCATTAGAAATTATAAAAAAAAAAATATAATAAAATGAATGATCGGATATATTTTTTTGGGGTGGCGCGAAAAAAGGTAAAATGAATCCGTGGGTAATTTTGAAAGAATGCTATATATATATATTAAAATTTAAAAAAATATTACAAGTGTAACCTTAATATTCAACATTTAATACTTTTTTTGAAAGTCACTTGATGACATGCATTCATAGTTTTATCTAACTAATACTAAGTTCATGCATGTACAAGGTTCATTTTCTGGTCGTGGATCTTTTACTTTTATAAAAGTTTCAAAGATGTTCTGGAAGGTCGCAGATTCTTCACGTCTTCCAAGCCGTCTAAAAAAATAATTTTACCTCCATATAAATTAAAAAATTTTTTCATGGAATTAATTTAAAATTGTCATACTTAAAGATCTTGCCTGTTATTTTTGATAATCCTTTTTAATTTCATTTATTTAAAGTGGTTTTAGCATGTGGACATTCTTTGTTGTCACATTTGTATGACATTCAACAAAACAATTTTATCACCAATCTCATTTTGCAGAATATGTTTGGATTTTTGCTTTTAAATGTTAAGAAAAACATTGATAAAAATCTGGGGCTAGCTAATTACTTTTTTTCAATGAAAAAATAGAATTTGTATTATCAATAGAGATGACAAAGAAATCCATGTGGACCCATATTAATCTAAAGGATACAAATTAAAATGGTGCTTTAATGCAAGAGACTTTAATGTAGTTATAAATCCTGAACATAATCACCAAAAGCATTATTTTCAATTTAAGACAAATACAATAATCAATTCATTCTTTTAGCACTTAAAAATCTTTGATTAAAAAGTTCATAAAATGTACTTCTTTTTCTGACCTCATCCATCAGCTGTTTTGCTTTCTTGGTAAATGAGTAGAAAGGATAATTATGTTGTGAAAATGGTTGATTAATAAGTGATCAAACAATTGTATATACTGTATATTAAATTTATTTTTATATAATAGTTACATTAAGTATGACTTTAACAATGCAACTTATATTATTTTTATTTTGCAGCTTATTATCTTTTCCTCTCTTAGCAACAAGGAGGTTTTGTAGTGTGAAGCAATGTATTTATAAATTAGCAAATCTGGTAGCAATTTATGATTCGAAAGTACTTTAAAAAAAAGGGAAAGGTAACCGCGACACATAATTCGGGTCAATAGAGAATTAAATTTAAATCCAAATAAGGAAAAAATCACGCCATAGGGTTTACTGACTAGCCCATTTTTGGTTAATTAGTATAAGATATTGGGAAATCACTATTAAGCTATTCTTTCAAACGTCACCGTTTATTAAATTATATTAATGATATTGATTTTTTTTATGACATAGATATGTTCGCTTTACATTTTTTCTTTTATTATTGTATTTTATATGCAAAAAAGAAGGTATTATTTATTTATTTTTCTATTCTAATACACAGTGAATCTCGATTTAACGGATAGTTTGGGCAATTAGGGAAAATTTTCCAAAAATCCGTTAAACCGAGATATCCGCTATATCGAGAAGGTTTTTATTAAGGTTTATTATGAAACCGTTCTTTGAACTTTATCCGTAAAACCGAGATTTTTAATTAGTATCCGCTAAATCGAGATTCACTGTGTACTAACAATATATTTATTATTTATTCACTCCAATATCTCCAATTTAATTTATTACTATCACAATGAAATGATGGAATGTATATATCATAATTGAATAATTAATATAATAAATGATTTAATAGAAATGTTATTGTATAAATAGTATATCAATCATATTGACGTCATTTTGCATTAAATAACAACAACCATTTGCCCGATAACTGTAAATTATTTCCTAAACAGAAAAATAAATCAACTTTCGAGATTCGCGTTAATATGATCAAACGCGCGGTGACATTCGATAGTTTTCCAGGTCCTTCGTGAACATAGTGATAGTAAAATACATGTACTAAGAAAGAATAGAACAAAAAATTTTTTTTGAGAAAATCTCTTCATTTAAAACTGATGACTTATTCCATTAACTAATGAGGCTATTTTTTTTAAAAGGTAGGACAGAAAGTGACTTTTATACTTTTAAAACTTGTGCAAAATTTTGTAAGTTTTTAGACTGAGCCAACTATGGTAATATTAATATATATATAAAATACATTTGAAATCATATACCATTTTTATTTTATGCCCAATAATATATATACTTTATTAATAATAAGTAAGGGTTATAACATGAATATAATAGAAATTCTAGAAAAAATAGAACCAACTACCTGATCAATCAACCAATTGAAAATGTTAGTTATAAAAGAAAAAAGAAAAGCAAATGCATCAATAAAGATCATAAAAAATAATCTATATTTATTATTATTATGATTTTAGAATATATATATATATCACTTTCCATCTATTTTAAAAAATAATGATAACAATAAAGAATTCAAAATGCTTTATTATCACCAACATTAAGCTAGGTTAGATGGATTAATATTTTTTTTTTTAAAAAAAAAATTAATCATTAATACAAATAATAACAATAATGGTAATACTTCATAAAAATTCAATATCATCAATCAACAAACATTATATGGATAAACAAACCTTTAATGCATCAGCATGACAGGTAGCATGACAAATAATACCATCATTAATTTCCACGGCATTTCTAAACATCCATTCTTCTTCATTATCATTCCAAAACACTTGAAATTTTTCTTTACAAATAGGACATGGTTTATTGGTTTTTTCAATATCAAGTGGTACAACAACAGTAGATTCATTGATAAGATCATTATTGTTGTTATTATTACTACCAAGATTGTTATTATTATTATTATTATTATTATCTTTTTTTGATCTAAAAGTTCCTCCAATACTACTAGTACTAATACCACTAATATTTTTATTTAATTTAAAAGAATTGGAATTGGATTCAAAAAATGTTGGTGTGTTTCCATTTTTTGAATCTGATTCTCTTGAATTGATAAAATCCTAAAAATAAAATAAAATATTATTATTATTATTATTATTATTTCATAAAACAAAAAAAGAAACAAACCTCTTCAGTAATAAACCAACTTCTACTTTGAGCTTTCTTTGCCTTCTCTTTCATCTTACGATTTTGTCTAAAATGCCAATCCAAGTGTATACCAATCTTTTTAGAATCTTTAGCATACCTGATTCCACATTGTTTACATTGAGATGGCAATGCATCATAAAGAATTGCAACTACTCCTACACGTTTACTATATTATTATTATTATTATTATTGTTATTATTATTGTTAAGATTATTGTATATAATATAATCATGAATAATTAATAATGTAATTAGTTACCATTGAATATCATGACTTGTAAGTTGGATTTTTTCTAAATCTTTTACATTAAATATCTTGTCATTGTTAATAATATTAGTAAATAATGGTGAAAGTGGATGATGGTTTTGTTGCTGCTGCTGCTGCTGTTGTTGTTGAGTATTGTGATGATGATGATTATTATTATTATTAATAAGATGTAATTGAGGCATTGATGTAGCAGGTTGTTGATGATGTTGTTGTTGTTGTTGTTGAATAGTATTAAAATTTGGAGATAAGATCACTGAATTTTTTAAAATATTTGAAAAATAATTAGTATTAGTATTAGTACTAGAATTTGATTGAGATGGTATTGGAAATGTTGTAGTAGAATTTATTATATTAGTGGTGGTAGTGGTAGAAGCATGTGCAAATGTTGGAGTAGAGGTAGATTGAATAATGTTAGTTAAACTATTTGCAGCAAGCATTTGTCTTATCTGCTGAATTTCTTCATTTGTAACAAATTTTTGTTGAAGTGCTTCAGATAACTACATAAATTCATTCATGTATTATTAATATATAACCAATGGATTAACGATTGTAAGAATTCGTTGATTAAAATGATCAATTAGATCAATTAATTAGTTTTTTTTGCAAACCTTTTGCAGATAAGTGATTTGGTTTTGATTAGTTAAATCTGATGGATTTTGTTGACGTGACAAAATTAACGATTTGCATTCTTGTAATAATTGTTGCTGTTCTGGTGGAGGAATGAATACTTGATTATGCAAAGGAATTGAAGGCTTGTTGACATACTAATAATTATAGTTATATTATGCGTTAAAAAAAAATAAAAAAAAAAAATATAGTGAGTTATAATAATTCAGAAGGAATTGAAAATTTTGTTTTTAAAAATTGTTTATATAAAAACATATATGAATTAATAATATTCGATATTTCCTTAAATCTTTGATAATTTAGATAATTAATTAATTTCTTCTTTTTAATTATTATTATTATTATTATTATTAATTTTTTTTTTTGTTTATTATTTATTTTAGAATTTTGGTTTTTTTTTTTTTTGGAAAAGAAATTATAGTTGAGCACATATTTATATTTAAGTCAATATATTTAGTTCTCTTTTTC